ATCCATCCATCCATCCATTGACTGTAATCAGGAGCTGTACCACATCATCTAGGTGGAAATATCTGTCTGCCATGCAGGTTTAGCCTCATGTTGCCGTCTCTTATCCAGTCTTAATTGGTTTTTGACCTTCACCTTTCCTCTAAGCATCTGTGAGTGAGCGTTTGTGTGAAAATCAGCTGGGGTCAATGTTATTTGACAGATGAACATGCCGCAAGAATCTGTCGTTACAACCCAATTAGTCTGGAACATCTCATTTTAGTGTTTAGGAAACAAATGGAAGCTAGATTTTTACGTTAATTGACCCTTTATGGATTAGTAACCTACAGCTGCAGACATTATTTGGAGCTTAATCTGCTCTCACTCAACCCGTTTAGTATCGACTGCAACTGCTGCGGCCTCAGGTTGCTGAGCGGACATCTAAATCACACATGCAGACTCATGGAGTGATAAGAGACTTTACTGTCACTATGAGAAGAAGCCAGAGAGACTATATCTGGCATCTTGTCAAATCCTGCCTCCCTGATACGCTGCAGCATTTCACTAACCAGCCGCACACAGCAAATTAAAGAACTTTACTCTGACATTTTCATCTTCATTAAAGGGAAACTAGACAGAAAGTCACCATGAATGGACACACTCCATGTTATATGCTCTGCGCATGTGGATGTTTCACCTATTTGTGCCCAAGTCTCTTATATTTAAAGGCAGAAATAAACTAAAAATATTTCAAACTTTTTTTTTTTTTTTTTACAGAAAAAGATTATAGTCTTCTTAAAAAAGGATACTAATAAAGCTGTCCTTGGAAACAGGCAAACCTTTGTTGACATGATAAATATTTTTTGCTGTTTTTGTACTCTGTCTTTGCCTTTCTTACACAATGCAGATGTTTCTAATTTTATTAGCAGATGTGTCAAAAGTATTAATGTTTTTTATTGAAGCAAATGTTTGTATTTTTAAAGCTACTTAAAGTATAAAAGTAAAAGTAATGCAGGAAAAATTGACAAATGCTTTAAATTCTACTGGTTACTGCGCTACTATATTAAAGGAGCATTTTTCTACAGTTCTGGATGATAAATTCCTTATACTTAGGTTTTTTAGTTTTATAACTAATTACGCTGTCAAATTTAACTGCATCATCTTGAAAAACTCTTTATTTTGGTATGTAGTGAACAACAAGTTGGTGCAGAACTGAGTCCAACCACAAAGAAATAGATTTTCTAGATGAAGCTAATTATTTAGAGGGTTTTTGTTTTTTATTTTTTCAAATACCAACAGGCTATAAGGAAAATAAGCTTAAATTACCCAAAACTAATAAGTGTATTTTTAAAATGTAAGAAGTGCAAAGTAAAGATAATTGCTAAAAAAAAAAAAGTAAGCAATGGAAGTAAAAAGTAAAATTTCTACTTGGGTAAGGTAATGTAGTATTTGTACTTTATTTCTTGACACCTCTGTTTATTAGAAACATCTGCATCAAACATCATTTAATCCCTTTTGGAACAATAATATTGAATAACGGCTTATAAATGGGTAATTATTGGTTTAGTTAATAAAAAGTTAATACAGTCAATATCTTTGCTGCATGGAAATTATTGGGGCTGATGGAACCTGTTGATTATTTTTTTGGTGAGTTTTAAAATTTCAGGAATATATATAATAATATTAATTAATAATAAATATGATATTTTAGTTAAGAAGATGACTTTAATCTTTCAACTGACCTTCACTTCCTGACTTGTTAATGTTGCATGTTGAGCTTTAAAAAAAAAACAACCCAAACCTTCTGCATGTTGTTGAGTTTGTTTCCTCCCACTAACCAACTGCTGTTTGCCTGTGTGTCTTGCCTGCCTTTGCTCTCGCCCTCCCGGCCACCAGGGGCAGTGTTTGACCGCCAGGCGAGCATCCGGCGCTCCCTCATTAACACTGACACCGTGGCCCGCCGGCCCAAGAAGGTCAAACGCAGAAAGACTATATCAGGGCTGCCTGACAACATCAACCAGGAGCTAGGTATGGATCTCTGCGAAGCCTTTAGGTGCCAACCCTCTGCATGAGCGTCCTCCACTCTGTCACTACCTCTTTCTTTATCCGCTATGGCTATCCACAGTGGGTTGTGTTTTTTATACGGAGAAAAAACACATATTTTCTCATGTTACAAACACAAACTTTTTTGTTTAATGGAGATTAAATGTGACAGACCAACAATTTAACAGTTGGCCCCGGCTAAAAGCTGTTGGCTCTGTAAGTGTTAAGGGCCCTTGATGGTTAAGTGATTAATTAGCTCCATCCATCCTTACATTAACAGGTTTATTTCTCCTTGCAGAAGAAAAGCGTCGCCCAAAGCACGATGCTTCCACCATGGCTCCCCTTGTAAACCTTGCAGATTGTACTATTTTTCCAGCTCCCGCATAGTTCCCATGGGCTACTTCTCAGATTAACGCTCCTCTTGCCAGTCAGCTCAGTTTAGGTGGATAGCCCTCCCTGTTCCATTATTGAATGATGGACGGAGCAGTGTTTATTTTTCCATCCATATAAATCACTTTTTTATACAGGAACAACTGCCACCCTCCATGTTCGTCACGCAATTTTTGCTAAACTGTAAACCGGACTTCTTATCACTTTCTACCAAAAGTGGTGTTCGTCTTGCTGCACTTCTCTAAAGAAAAGACCTGTTGGTTCGGCATCTAGTAGTTGTTCAGATTATGGATTATACAGATTAGGATCAAGTTTTATTACCTAATCCTGCTCTAAACTTCAACACTAGAAGTTTTCAACTTGCAGGTGGTGATAAAACCTATGGTTTAATTTCCTTCCCCTTTGAAATCAGTCACTGCTGACTGGTGTTGGTCTGTCACATTAGATCCCAGAATATAACATTTGGAGTTTATGAGGATAATGGCCAAATTTGGAAAAATTCAGGCCTTATGAATTGAGGTTATTGGACAAAAGCTTTGCAGCGGCTGAGAAATCACAGGTTCATTTCTGCATATGTGGCGTTCTTATTGAGCCCACAGCACAGAGATGGTTACTCTTTCATGGAGGTTAGCTAAGCAATAAAAGTTTCATTTTATATTAAAAGTTATTCTCTCTATTTTTGTAAATTGTGAAGATTTTACGATGAATAATAAAGTTCTTTAAGAACATATGAGTTTCAAAACAGCTTTAAAAAGGTTTAGTGGTTCTCTAACCTTAGTGACTCTGGGTGTGAAGCGACACTAAGCTCTTAAAGCTGACAGTGCAGCATGACTAATGTTTACATTTCGCTCAGCTGTCTCATGGTAGCAGCATTCCATATCTCCTTTCTTTCTGTGGTCACTCTGATCCGTCAGGATTGATAGAAACAGAGCTTTAAAGTCTGGTTAGTGGCCCCTCTCGCTACAGCTTTTTGATGTCAGCACGGCTCGCTCCGGGGTAATTGTCCCGGCATTTCGTCCCTCCCTCCTTTAGCGCTGGAGCTGCCTGCAAAGTAGAGATGCAGCTTAATCTATCTATTGCAGCAGAAGCAGCAGCAGGCGAGCTGTCAGTCGAGCTTTTAGCAAAGGAGGGAGAGGGTGTATGTGTGGTTAGGAGAAAAGAGGAGGAAAGGACGCAGGAGTGCGAGTGCCAACACAAAAATACCAACAGGAGAACCACAACAAATGAGATTAGACGTCCTTTCTCTGTATCTTCCCTCTTCAGTGTTTACAGGCCGCTATGGTTAGTATACAGATTTTTACGTCTTCATTTAGTGCATGTTGTTGTTTTGCTGATCATGATTAAGCAAGTTTGCATTGGAAATGCATGATTATGGGTCTTTGGTGTAAATGTTAGTGTGTGTTGGGGTCAGTGATCTGTTAGGGTGAGTTATAAGATTGAGGGGGGGGCGGGGGTGTCTGCCATCCTCATTTCCCCCTTAATGAGAAAGAACAGATGCTACAAGGGTACGGTAAATGTAATTAGTAGTTTTCCGTGGCTTTTTTTTTCTTTAAAGTCCAGTCGGATGGGAAGAAGGCAGAGAAAAAGAAATAAATCTCCTTTTTTATTTTGTTTCTCCACAGCAGCTAAAGGGCGAGGCGGAGAGCTTCGGCCACATTCGATGTTCATCCCAGGTCAGTACTCCACCCTGGGCCGAGCTGCCAGCGTCAACTCCACCCTAAGACACTCAGACACCAGAGACTCCAGCTGCCAGACGGAGGAAGTGAAGATCGTCCCCCCGTCCATGAGAAGAATCCGGGCGCAGAGAGGACAGGGGATCGCTGCTCAAATGGCCGGTATCTCTGCCTCCTCTTCAACGGGAAGCATCTCCCTCTCCAGCACCGACAGCTCGGGGGTCGTGATGCTACCGCATCAGTTTAACGGGGACCCCTCCCGTTTTCACAGCCTCCCACGACAAGGCGCCAGGGTGTCCCTCAGTGCTGATCCGATCTACAGCAGCACGCCCATAAAGTCAGAGGATCAGCCTCAGAGGCAGATAGGGAAGCTTCAGGTGGACGACACTGTGGTGCACATGAGGAATTCCCCAAGAATGAACTCTCTACCCAGGCCAAAGTCTCAAGAGGTGAGGAGGACTACAGAGTGGGGTGGCAGTACAGCATGCGTAGTCTCCCCTCATGCTGCTTATTCCACCTCCTACATCCCTAACGCCACCCTGTCTAGCTCCACTGAGGTGATGAGCCTTAAGCCCTCCAACCAGTCACCGGTTTCAGTCTACCCCACATCTCGAGCACTCAACCAGGCTTCCTCCACCAGCAGTGACCTCTTGATGTCCAGTCCGACAGCTTTCTGCCACAGTCCAGCCTTGGCCTCCTCCACCCCCCTGCACACGCCTCAGGACATCAATCTGCCTCCTGGCAGGCCAGCGAGTGAGTCAGGTCACTCCGATAGCAGCATCCACAGCCACAGCACACTGGCCCCCACTCCGCCATCCTGCCTCCCAGAGGAAAACTGGATCTATGACACGCCTGAAAACGTGGTGGCTCCACATCGCACCCTGACCTCCAGCTGCTCCACCCCCATCAACCAGCTCTACAGCAGCTTGGACCACTCCTCCAGGACCACCACCGACTCCAGCTCCCTCTACTCTCAGGACAACGACGGCTACTACACCTCTATGCACCTGGACTCAGGTTTACGTTCCCGCAGCCACGGCAGCGGCAACGGCGCCACACTCGGACGCGCCTCTAGACACAGCATGTACGAGTGTCGCGAGGCGGTCGTCGAGGAAGACTCTGGCAGCCTGTACAGTGACCGCTCCCTCTCCCGCAGCATCTCCCTACGCAAATCAAGGAGGCCGCCTCCTCCTCCGACTCGGACAGACTCTCTGAGACGTAAGCCTGCGGCGAAGAAGCCCCTTGGCGGCGAAGTGTCGAACGGTGGCATGCTCAGTGAGACTCTGATCGCCAGCTTGCAGCAGAGCTTACAGATTGGACTGAGAGGGGGGAAGGGGAAGGGCGCCTCACCCTCCTCGCCCTCCCACAGCCCGAGCAGTGACTATGACGATCCCTGGGTGATGCGGTCGCGCAGTCAGAGCAGTATCAGCGCCGGGAGCTCGGCAGCCTCCCTGGCAGCTAACGCTAATTCTGCGGCCCTGCAGAACGTTTACTCGCTCTGCCATGTGACCCCCACCCCCAGCGACACCAGCAGCCTGCGTTCTGACTACGCAGACTCATGGGGGTACTACTCAGACTACCCGCGTAGCCAGACAGACCAGCGGGCGCAGACGCCTCCCGGCCACGCCACAGATAAGCTCCCAGGTGGCGGTCATCCAGGAAAGTTCCAGAACGGAGGTCAAACCCAGGGGGGTTCAGCCCAGGAAGTGGAGGCGTCTGTGAAGAGCAAAGCCGGCTCCTCTCCGGACAGGGTGCACAGACTCACCTCCCCATCCAGCGGCTATTCCAGCCAGTCCAACACCCCCACTGCTGGAACGCCGGTACCAGCTTTCGTCAGGTCCATGTCTCCGTCAGGTGGCAGACCCAAACCCAGAGTCCCAGAGAGGAAGTCCTCCCTCCTCTCCTCAGTTTCTGTCTCCTCGTCCTCCACATCACTGTCCTCCAACACCTCAGACAGCCTGAAGAGTTGTGCCCAACCACCACCTCCTCCTCCACCGCTGCTCTCCTCCTCAGCTCCCAGCACCCCTCTCAGTGCTCCTCCACCCTTCCCTCCACCCCCTCAAGATGCTTCCCTGGATCTCCCCCCTGCTTGCTCCACTTCCTCTGATTTCCCTCCTCCTCCATCCCCAGACATCCTGATCCATAGCAGCTCGTCTTTCAATGGGAGCCTCAGTCCGCCCCCTCCCCCGCCTCCTCCCCCTCCCCCTCCACTGCCTACTTTTCCTTCAGCGTCTTCCTTGCCTCTTAAGAAGGGAGCTACAGATCCTCCCAAGGCAGGTCTTCCCAGTAGCCCCTCAAAGTCTCCCAAACCCCTCATCACCCCGTTTGCACTTCAGAGCGTTCAGCTCCGCTCAGTCAGACGACAAGAAAATGAAATCAATAGTAAATCAGAGCAGATTGAAGCTCAGGAAACCAGGATAGAAACCATTTTGGGTGTGAAAAATCAGGACTGGGAGCCACCCAACTCTGCAGAGCCCCCCACCGTGCAGACCGGCTCTACTGGGCAGGATTTGCATGAGACCCAACCGTCGCCAGTGTCACAGCTCCTGGAAGAGCTGTCACTGGACGGCAGTTTCTCAGATGAAACACCAGATGGCGCTGATATCAACGGGGAATCCGAGGAACGGAGTTACTGTTTGTTAAACAGAGAAGGAAACGAGCATCAGGACTCGTCACATAGCTGCGAAGTGACCCCCATCAAACAGCCCCCGGCAGTCGCCCAGAAACCCAAAGTTTCACTAATCCTCCCGTTTAACCAAAGCAAACATGTTAGTGTGCATCCTCAGGATAGTCTGTCTATAACCCAGGCAGCAGATGAAGTGGATGCGCTGCCTGGGCAGATGAAGGAGGAGCTGATAGAGAGGACAGAGCAACAGGATGAGGAAGATACCAAAGAGCTGTCAGGGGGAGGGGAGACATCCCCAGACCAGGAGGACTCCTGCTTTACATCTGAAGATACAAGTGTTGGTCATCATCTTCCAAATGGAGAGGTGCAGGAAGAGGAAGAGGAGGATGAAGATGGACTGAGCAGCACCACCGGGTCCATCAGCTCCAAGGATGATGATACAGGTGAGTCAGAACTCTAGTTTGTATAATTCTGAGGAAAATGGATCCTAAAAGTGTTTTTGTTGAAGACTTTGAGGATCTGCTATGGTTAGAAGTTGAGCTGCTAATTGCTGCTTGGAAATATGAGAACTCTGATTATTTGTGAACGGAGAAGGAAACTTTTGAGGAAACATAATTTAACATGAAACCCCCCCACCCCCACTGTCAGAGTATATATTATCTCTCTTCTTTTCTCCCATTCCTACCCCTCCCTCTCCCACTCTCTCTTTTGGTACGAGGTAACGATGGGGGCACGTGTCCCATGGGAGATGGTGTTTTGTGGTTGGAGGGATATTGGCGGGGGGGAGGGGCCACATGGTATCAGAGTGGAGGGAGGGGAACTGATCCTGTAGAAAGGATGAAGCGGAGGAAGGGGCGAGTGTAAACTGTGACTGCAGGCAGTTGATGCTCAGACCTGAGCGAGGAAGGATGGGAGGAAAGCAGAGGAGGATGTAGGCCAGCCAGGGATGCTCCTCTGTGCATAGAAGAGGAGCAGCATGGACACCTGAGCCTCTTTTCAGTTCTCTGATTTAAGATTTAAATTAGTTGCCTTTTTTTCTCTCTCTCTCCTTAGGGGAGGTTTTTGAACCCAGTACGGCTGAAGCGTCTCCGTCCCCGTCAGTAAACGGGGCGTCAGAAAAAATCATGGTGACCCCGACTCCTACTCCTGCTCGACCCAGAACCACAGAGGACCTCTTTGCTGTGATACACAGGTAGGAGCTCCTTCCAGCTTTCCTAATCTCAGATGAAATCTTCCAAATTTGTCCTCCTTTAATCATTGCCTCTGTTTTAAAACCTTCTGTCAACCCCCAGCTTCCTCTTCCTCACCCTTTCCTCAAAAACTAATAAGCCCCTTTTCCCCCCCCATCACCCTTCAGGCCTTGATTTCTCTTCCCTCAGCTCCCCCCCCTTCACCTCTTAGACATAACTTTAATGAAAGCATCGCTGCTGAAGCAAACTCCTCTTTTCTGACTAGTGAAACTACAAAAAGGGAAGACTCAGAATGAGTCATTAAATGTTCATGAAAGCATCTGTGTTCATTCAGTCACATTATCATCGCTCATTTTCAACAAAAGAGGGGGAAAAAACACAGTTTCTTCATTTATTATTAAACTATTGAACACCCTGAAATCCTAATCTAGGTTAGAGGCCACCGGAGATTTTCCCCATCTTCAGTTTTCATGTTTCTGTGACACACTCTGCATACATTGCTCATAAATATCCCATGCAGCCCGCCAGTTTTGTGCTCCACTGTCACGTGCAGCAGCTGCAGATGGACTTCATCCCGAGCAACACAGCGCTTTATTTCACAGGTTTTTTTTCTTCCTTATCCGTGCTCAGAAGAGGGGTTCTCCACGTATTTGCGGAACCCGCCTTATCACGTGTACAAGCATGGTGGTGGTGTTGTGCAGCCTAATTAGAGATGAAGACTGCACGTAGCTCCGGGGCAAGTTATTTGTATTTATTCGGCACACTCCTCCTACTTCACACCACCTGAGGGGGACGGAGCGTAAAGAATAATTTCACAGATTTGGGGACATGAAGATTTCTATAGATATTTAAACCTGTGAGGAAGAAAAACGTATAAACCTTAATGATGGAGGCTTTTTGGCTGTAAAATGGGCAAAAATTCAAATAAACTTGGGAATTTTGAAGCAACACTTTTAGTGGTAAAAAAGTCTAAAGAAAAAAATATCTTATACATTTCTAATAGTTTTTATTTTTCGGCTTCTTTATATTCTAAGGACTTTAAAACATGAGAGAAAAGCATGAGCAGCAGGTTCCTTTTTAGCGATGTGAAGATTATGTGGGATTTATACCTTGTTGGTATAAATCTCACATAATCTACACCAACTTTTTTTTTTTTTAACTCTTTAAAGGTTGTTATTTATCACTTAAGAAGAGATAAGAGATTTCAGGTTTGTTTTGCTGATCCCTGATCGGACTCAGTTTCTTATCTCTTTCCAGTCAGGTGATGCGTGTTTAAGTAAGACAGTAATAAACGGCTCGTAGAAACATTTTTTTTTAATGTTTTCAGTGATTGATTAAAATCCTGAGTGGAAACTCTTCAGATTAAACCCTGGAAGCAGCCAGGAGGGAAAGATCGATTGTTTGCTCGGAGCTCTGTCTCATATTACCAATGTGATCACCTCTGGAACTATTCATGCTGTTCAGCGTTGTCACAGCCCACCGAGTTCAGGTTTCCCATCTTATGCAACATTTAAGTGATGATGCAACATGCAGAGGGAGGCTGCTTAGATCCTCTAAAATCAGAGGACTCTCACATCAATCGCTGGTGTTTTTTAGTCCTCCCCTCCTTTTTATGACCTTCACTATGAGGTTTAATTTTCTCCAGTTATTTTTCCTGATAGCAGGGTTTCTTAATGAATACTTTAGGATTAGAGATTCTGCATGTGTCCTTCTCTCATATCTTTACCACCTTCAGCTTCAGATGCTCTGCATTTTCAGTGCATTTAATTACATTCTCTCAGCGACGCTGTAAGGTGTATTGGGTTATGGGATCTGAATTTAAATAAAATTCAGACAGACCCAGATGAAATGTTTTAGTTCTTTTTTTTAATCATATTTTAGTAAAACATTTTCTCTAATATTCTTATTCGATCACTTTGGCCTAAACTGTATCACTGCAGCACAGAAGGCACATGGTCCTATGACCCTATGAACAGGGTCTGCTGACTGCTGCAGGATGCTTCATCCCCTTAAAGATACAATGAATAAATCTTGAGCTTGAATTACTACTTTAAATATCTCTACTTTTAATGACCAATTTATTATATTATTTACTGGTTTATATTGGCCTGAGATGCGCCAATCCAGTTTTTCTATCTTAATCTGATACCAATAACTGGGCTCAGCGTATCGGCCGATATCCGATACGTTTCAACTGTTTAAGAAATATATCTCTTTATGTGAGTGAAGGCTTTAGCCTTGACATAAACATTGTTAAAAAAAAAGGGTAACAAACTTTCTGAGTGCAGATTTTTAGTTAAACATAAATAAAACTTTAAGTGAGTCATGACAGTAGATGAAGTTCTCACCTTTACACGATTTAGATCTGTCAGGTTTTATGCTGGGTTGGTGTCAAAGGTCAACCATTATCCTACTCATATAAGAGTCTTTTCAGGGATTTGGAAGTTTGTGGATCTTAGGCCAGAGTTGATGTTTACAGGCGCTTTCATCCAATTTGCTTGAGAAGTTTACTGATGTGTAGAAATAAAGACCTCCTCCCAAGCACTGGCAGCTGCTTCCACATAGTGTTGACTCAAAGCTGAACATCAATACATGCTGATGTTTCCAGAATTACCTGTTTATGGCAATCTTTAAAACTACCATGAAATACATTACGGTTATAGTCAAAATGTTCTAAGCATATATATGACATATAAAATACACATATGTGTGTATTTTGTCTCTAGGTTATCACCCTTGTTTTTTGTTGAGTTAACTCTTATTGAGTTCCTCTAAACATCTGCTGAATCTACTGGTCTCTGTGTCCACAGGTCAAAGCGGAAGGTCCTGGGGCGTAAGGAGTCTGAGGAAGAAAAGTCCCGAACCGGCAGCCAACCCCAGTCTCCTCCATCAACCCCCACCAGCCTGTCTCCAGGATCACCTCTGCCCCGCCAGTCCGGCCCCATCCAGCGCAACCTCCGCAAGACCTCCACCAGCAGCGACACCTTCAAGGCCCTCCTCCTCAAAAAGGGAAGCCGCACAGAGACCAGCTTCAGGATGTCTGCCGCCGAGATGCTTCGCTCCACCGACCCACGCTTTCAGCGGACGCGCTCCGAGGGCTCGATGGACCCCGCCCTGGCTTCGCCCACCTCACCAATGGCTCCAAACAGCCCCTCCAACTCTCCAGGCAGAGGTAAGAGGGCGACAGAAGAGTGGAGCCGCTACGACGCCTACGGCCTCTCATCGCCCACGTCTTCGCCCTACTCCATGGGCATCTCAAAATACGGACGCTCCCGCACGCCGCCGTCAGCCGCCAGCAGCAAATACAACGCTCGCAACAGACTCCTCAGCAGCCCCATGACTGTGATCTGTGAGCGCGAAGGAGAGCTGGCTGAGAGCGAGTGTGGAGAAAGCGCGGAAAATCAGTCCGAACCAGCAGTGCAGACTCTCACCGTGCTTACAGACTCTAACGGCACATGAGGAGCTGAGCTCCTGTGGAACACAACCTGGAAGGAGTCCTGAGGAGGAGCCTTCCTGAGAGACCAGCCCCCTCAACGCTGCCTCTGAAGGGTCCGACGTGACGCCGGCGGTCACCTGACCATTCAAACCTGTCTGAAGTGGGAAAATGGTCCTGCTCCTCTCATTTCATTCTCTCCTCAATCTTCTAGCAATTCCCCTCAAAGTACCACATTTGGAGGATGAACTGAAGTGGGCTGAAGGATCGCAGGAAGCTAAACATTTAAGTTTGCGGCTGTGTTGTTGTTTTTTATGAGAAAGATCTGCTTTCTGCTCAGCTTGTAAATCTCAGTTTCTGCTTTTTACTGACTGGTTTTAGAAAGTGACTGATAGCAGCCGTGTTTACAAAAAGAAAACCGGATTAAGGATGAGGTACATCAAACATAAAACCCATCGGTACACACTCTAGAAACACCAGCTTTTCATCAGTGGTTCATTGGGAGAACACTGGCTCAGTGCTGCCACCTAGAGACTGGATCATAACATCTTCACTTTCTGTTTGTAGACTTTTGCACTGTGCATAGATCTGTTTTTGTTTGTGACCTTAAAATATGTTTTAAAGATGATTTTAGTCATGAGTTGTGTTTGGGAGTTAAATATGAACCTGTAAATGTTTATTAAAAAAATCTTATGTTATTTTCCAGCTCTTTTAGTTTTGTAACCAAAGAGTTGAATATTAAACAGAACTGGCTGTTGATCTGAATTCAGTCTGTGTCTTTATGTCTTATAACAGATCTATTTGGTGTTTTAAAATGATTTCTATAACACTGTCCAACTAAATCTGATTATTTAATGAACTTAAGGTTTAGAGCACTTTTTTCCCCTCTGTTAAGGACTGTTATTACTCATAGATGGGTGTTGTTGTGTATAGATCTGGGTTGATTCATATGTTCATGTCAAATTTAATAATTTGTTTCTTTTTCTGACTTTTTTTAAAGCACAAATCCAAAAAGATGTTCAGATGGATGGACGATCTGTCTCTCATAAACATAAACCATTCTATGTGATGTCTTCCTTCCTGATTTTTGCTTACGTGTTGCTCTCTTATTAAATATGGGAAATATTTGACATGTCACAGAAATGTAGATGACTTGTAAACACCCAGTTAGACTTCCCTATTTAATGGGGGAGTGAGAAAATAATAACAATAATTCAAAATACCAATATCGCCATACTTTATAAAAACATTATTAATTCAAAATACGGCTGAAAGGATCTTTAATGTTAAAAAAATCGATGCATGATAGATTCATTAGATGGAGGGTTAGCACACAGATGGATGTTGGATGATAATTAATATATAGCATATTAAGACAAGAGGATTGGGGATACAAACTGGAAATACAAATGTGCTTTAGAATTAATAAATTTCAGAAAAAATTGAGAATTGCTGTTTTAAGACAAAACAAGAGGTGCATTTTTTTTTGCAGATGTCCTTCAACTGCTCCTGTCCTCATTCTTAACTTCTATTAATCTGTCTTCGGGGCTCACAGCTGAGTAAATCTTGTCTCTTCAGATTAATAAACCACATTGACAGGCGGGTGATGTCCCAGCCATGGCACCCTGAGGGCCACTGTGCCTCCAAGCTGCCTCCTGGCCGTGATCGAGTGTTTGTTTCGTGACGGGAAGCATCTCAGATCTGGAGGTTTGTTAGAAGCCGGCTGGCAGAAAGGGGTGGGAGTGAAGCGCCGGGCTCCTTTGAAATATCTGTAATAAAAAACTGTGATATTTATTTATGTCAGTTCCCTCTGTGTGACTCAGAGCCATCTGCCTGCCTGACACACCTAATCATATCCTCATTAGAGCTGTGGTCATAGCTCCAATGCTCCTGTCATCCTGTAAGCTCAACCCTTCCCCCCCTGTGTGGTCATCAGTTACATCTGGTAATCCCCACAGGTTTAATAAAAAAACAAGCATTTCTTCCTGCAAGGTTTCCTCTCAGGACCTGAACGTGGATGTCCTACCCTGATTCAGCAGTCACCTGTCCTCCACAAACTGCCTCCATCTGGGCGTCAGATGGGAATCTATACCCCTCCCAGCTATAACTGCACTGCTGACGCTTCCTGCTGTCTTCTCGTTAACACATGCATCTATACAGGGTTTGATCAGCAGCCACGCAACGTACCCCAGTCTGGTCAACATGATGCAGCAGCTAAAACCAGAACATTTTACATCCAACTACTATTTGCATGGTTGATCATTTGTTCTAATTTTCCTCCAGGGTTTAATGTAAGATTTAAACCTATAAAAATCTTAAGAAAAGGTTTTTAGGAAACTTAATCTGTATTTTGTTTTTTTTTTCTCTCTCTGGTAGAGATGTTCCAGTTTTTAAGATTCCCCTGAAAATGATCAGACTATATTAGAGATGCATCGATCAGTCAGAATGATTCATCAGGGTTTTACTACATGCAGCTTTATTTGTGAGAATATGTCTTTAATTCAACCTTCTTGCCAAAGATTGCATTGATGTGCCATCCTGGATGAGCCTCATTATCTGAGCCACTGTGGGTTGTAGAGGCCGTCTCATACTAACATGAGTCTGAAAGCACCACCAACATTCTCAAGTGACCAAAGAATAAACCAGAAAGCATATTTAGTGAGTTTTTCTCACTAATTGCCAATCATTTCCACCTGTTGTCCATTTGCAGAACAGCATGTGAATTTAATTGTCAATCAATGTCCCCTCCTAAGATTTAATTTCAGTGAAGTATGATTTAATTCACGTTATGTTGTTTACATTCTTTTTTTTTTTTTTAGCAGTGTGTTTTCCTACTTAATCCAATGTTCCATTTCAACGTCCCTTTGTCTTCATTCATCCATCTGAGGATTTATCAGACCTCAGTTTGTCCATCCAAACCATATTTCTTTTCTACTTCAATCAGTTTGTCCATCCATGGAAAGAAGCAGTCATTTTTTTCAATCCATTCTTCTGTTATTTGCTCTTAATTTAATATAAAAATTGGCTTAAAATGACGGAGTATTCGCTCTCTAATGTTTAGAATCCCAGTTCTGGACCCAGGACCCTTCATATTTTGTAATTGATAGGCTCTGATCAGTGATGTTGATCACTGATCAGAGCCTATCAAGAGAAAGCTGGGTATCTGAGTGGTGCTTTGTTTAGTCTATCTAGTTCCTTCAAACTAAAATAACCTTTCATACTGAAGGCTGGCATACTATAACACACAGTTAAACACCAGAAAACCAGGATTGCTTTCCATCCAAATTAGCTCACGCAGCAGGGGTGTAGTCAAAACGCCCATCTGTGGTGTTTAGATTAAAACCCCTAATTTTAGATTTGTTCCTGGTGCTAATGCTGCGCCTCAGCGAGCGCCATGAATCAACATTAAAACTAGGAGGGTGTGTTTGGTTTTTACTAAAAGAGGAAAATGGGAAAAAAAAAAAAAAAATTGCTGATTTTTCCGAACATGATCCGGGGCACCGTCCTGCCACAAATAAAACCACTGACTCAGCAGAGATAAACCTTAGGAGGATGAGGAAGGGGAGCGAGGATAAAGGGCAGAGCGAACAGCGGAGAAGATCTAATCCGGCTGATGAAAGGTCACTGTTGTCTGGAGTGCAATCGCAAATTTTACGCATCACAAATTAAATGAAACAAAATGATATCTGTGAAATTTAATAAAAGAGAAACTGGAATCATTTCATTTATTGTTTTTTTTTATTTTTTTTTTATTAATGATAAAATAACTTTACATTCAACATCAAATAGAAGCAGATAATCAGCGTTAGTTTCTCTGAAAAAAACATAATTACTCATGTAAACAAGGCATTATCATGTTAGTGTTTATAATTACTCCCAGATATCTAAAAGGTTTGCAGGTTGGAGGCTCCAGGCACCGCCTGCCAACTTTACGTGTGACATGACAAGTCCAGAAATAGATACTTAGTCATTTATCATGATGGATCTGATAGGAGAGGATGTGAGTGAGGTCTGAGAGAAGATAAACAGGGATTAATCAAACTGGTGGAACGACTGAAAAAGCTGCAACAAACCTTCAAAGTTAAGCACAAAGGTTCATTTAATCATTTTTTTCTGGTCATACTGAAATTAATTGTCTGATTTCTATAAAACAAAAGGTCTCCATTTCCTCTAGGTTTGCTGCTGTGGTGGAACGGAAAACATTCTCAGCTCAGATCAGGCTTCATGGAAAAGCCGTCGGCTGTTTTCCCAATGCAGAGGCCACACGTGGAAAACAACGCTCTGCTCGGATAAGAACAACATTAAATGTTATGCAAAATGATTGGTGTGGAGGAAAAGTAAATATATAGTAAAGCTAGGTGATGACAACATCATGCTGTGGGGATTGTTTTCAATCGTGTAGAAAGATGGAGCCAAATGTGAAGGAGTAGAAGACTTGAGGCTGGAGGTTTACAGGTAAAAAGCCAGAGCTCCAAAGAAAGTGTTTACCTTGGTCATGTGTTAGAACTGCTGGTCAGATTCCAGAACTAATAGCAAAATCATTTTTTACATGTGATCAGAAAACAAGAAAGTGCTGAAAGAGACGTCAGTAAGGCACTGAAAAATAAAGAAGCATCATGATCCTAAACATTATAAGAGAGTTCTGAGACTTTCTGACATGAGATGGACTAGGTTCTCTGATTCTTGGTCCATGGACCATCGCAGCAGCTGCTTAAAAAGAAAAAAAAACTTGGCTTTTAAAAACTAGATCCTTTCAAATTCAAAATAACATTTTATCTAGTAATTCAGCTAAAATGTAAAAAAAAAAAAAAATCCCTTTTAAACAGTCAATAATATGATTAAAAAAAAAATCACAAAATTATATTTTCATTGCATTATAGGAAAAAAAAAAAAAAAATCAAGGCACTCTTTCCACTTGGTTCCCCCCTGCTGGACATTTTCTATTATTAAGGTTTTTCAAGTATTTGGTCATCAACATCAGTAAGTTTTTGTAAAATTTATAAACTCTTCCTTTTTTATCATTCTTCAGAAGCTGCTTTTAGTTGGATCCCAACTACTGCTCTGCTTTCTTGAGGATCCACACCTCATTCCTGCGGTTGGTCAGCTTGAACGGGGCGTCGTACCCGGCCGTGTAGTACGGCTTGTCCACGAATTCGACGCCGTCCCTCTTCAGGCTCTCCAGAAGCTTCAGGAGCTCTTCCCGCCTCGTATTTTCATTGGCAAAACCTCCATATGTCCTGGAAAAAAGGAGTAGGATTAACACCCTGCAGCAGTGACTCCCACTAGGAGGTAAGTGTACCTCCTAGTGGTCGGTGAGTGCATTGCAAGGGATACACCAAAATATTTTGTGCATCTTCTGCCTCCAACACACTGTTTACTACAGTGTGTTGAATTCATGTTAATGTGTATTTAGAGACATTTCAATTAGTGGAAAGAAAATAAATAAAACCGAGCTGGGATCTGTTTTGCTTTGTGAGGACCCAACTGAAAAATTAAACAAGCTTTTATTAAACAAAAAGTACGTTTTTCTTCTTTGAGTTCACCTGCAGCTTTGACACACATCAAAATCATTCAGAGGAACAGACTGGATGTAGGGAACAGCCTGAGATCAGCTGGTTTTCACAAAGTAAAACTAATAAAGTCAGTCTGACTATAATTTTTGCTCTGTATTTTGTTTCCAATTCATCAAGTTTAAATGGGATATAAGGGATTTACTCAATGGAGCTCCAGTTTTATGAATACAGGTTTATTATAGGATTTTATTTTGTATTCATTTTGATTCTTGCAAACTTCCAGGCAACATATTAATGTTTATTTATTTGAGATGGAAAGCATAAAACTATAAAAAAAATACATGCACAAATTAAGATAGATAGAGAAATGGAGATATAAATATAGAGGTAGATATACAATCAATAAAAACATATGAAATAGGATAAAAACAAACAAAAAATTAGAATAAAAAAATAATTAAAAAAACTCAGTTCTTCAAGATGCATTAAACTATCTAATGGCAGCCTGGACAAAATGTCTCTCCGTTCTATTTCTCACAGAGATCAGTGTCGAAATAAGACTTTATTTTAATTAATGTACAAACACTCATGACTAGATTTAAAATGATATAAGTTTAGAAATCGATATTCTGCCAGAAAAGGTGATTTAATATAGAACTAGGGGTGGGGAATTAGTTTATTGTATTGATTAATATATTTTTTTGTATATGGAGA